AAAGTAATAATGGTCCGTGTCACCTTTCTCTCCGCATTCGCAGAAGACTGTAGCCCTAAGCCTAAATCTGTTGAAATATACTGGGAGTGGCCCATGACCTGTCACGAATTGTGTTAGGCTAGCACGATGAGTCTTGATTTCTATGTTGCCTCCGACCATCTATCTACTTTGCCAGTTTTATAGTAAGCTTATCAAAGTTGCTCGTTTAATCTGAGGCCAAGGAAGTTAAGTTGGTCTTCTAGTAATCCCGTGCCATTAGCTGCCTGCTTCGCCAGAAGGTCAGTAGAGCGGAAACCCATTTTAGAGTGGGTCTTTGTGAGATAGGAATTAACAGAAGCTGATTTTGAATTCGGTATACCAAGGGACTTCAGCTGTTTTAACCCGAGTAGTGAGTCCCACTTTCAGTTCCTTGAAGTTCGTTTTCGAGGGATTTCATTGTTACTTTACAATGTATAATTAATGCAGCCTGGCAAGTATTTATGCAGTTATATAATAAACATTACAATGTTTGTGTTGTAAAAAACGTTTCTCATTTCTTTGTATTGCATAGCCAAATGCTGACTTATAATATTAAACTCATTATTCCTCGAAGTCTACTATATTCTAATTCTGCACATCAAGGCCGCCGTGAACATCCCTTATTTACGATCCTAATGTGCGTCGTCATCGCCGGGCGACTGAAATAAAGGGGTTGTAGCAAATTAAAGAACTCGATATTTTTTCCACAGCCGTCGTTGTCGTGGTTATGGGGCACGGTTTGCGAAGAAAATACCCTTGATATGCCTATTCTAAAACAAGAGATTATCTAAACTTCAAAAAAAGGTACAAAGCCTGGCATACGAATTTGCGTTACGACTTGTATCGCAGTCCCAAATGCGCGCAACAAACGAATAAAATAAAATAATTGAAATATGTTCTCTAGACTTCAACTATCTGCAAAAAAAAAAAAAAAAAAAAAAAAAAAAAAATGCAATGCAAAATTACTTCCGCTTTTTTGGAGATAACAGACAAGAGGTAAACTCATATTATATACTATCCATAAGTTAAATTGTATCCCAGCACTTCGATCCGTCTATTCACAAAATAAATATTTGATGTGAAACAACAAAAGGATAACTAATCGGCTCAGAGAATTAGCAAGCATATCGAGTGCAACTTGAGAATCTGCTTTGTGATATATTGAAAGATCACTTCAAAATTTAAAATGAACGATGTACTTAATCTTTCATTTTATTACTTAGAATGAAAGGGCTATCTTTAGCTAAATATCAAGCAAATAGAATAAACATTTGATGAGGCATAAAAGCTAAAACATATGTATAGCAATAAAAAGAAATATACCTGGAGGAAATATTTTATTAGAAAATCAGAATCCAAAACTGCAAACTGAAAAATATTATAATGAAAGAAATAAGAATAAAAGAATTATTATGTAGAGACATTAGGTATTTTTTTGGGGTGGGGAAAGGGAGCAGGCAAGATGAAAAATGAGCAATTGCTTTCGCCGGGAATCGAGCCACGGACCTCTGGAATACCGGTCCAGCGTGCAGAACCACTACACCAGGAAGGCACTCTAGCAAGGCAGGAGAAATACCTTATATATTTCCCCTTTTAAAAGGTGACTGGGGTTTTAGGTGTCCCAATCGCCAAATCCTGGGTGTGGAGATTCATCATACACGACCCTTTTATTTCGGACGCCACTATAGTGGCGTCCGAAATGGCGAGACATTAGATACTTTTTTTGGGGGAACAGACAAGATGAAAAATGAGCAAACGTCTTCGCAGGGAATCAAATCACGGACCTCTGGAATACCGGCCCAGTGTTCGAAACCACTACACCACGGAGCCTTATAATTAACCTTATAATTATTAAAATAAGAAAATACCTTAAGAAATACCTTATAATTATTCTGATAGAAAAGATAAATCAGGTATACTACACTTGTGATTTCTCTGATATGATTTCTACTGCAAAGCAATAATTATGTGAAGGTTTTAGAGTGCGTATGCGGAATGGCTGATTTTGAACAATAAATTCGGAAGACAATATGACGTAATCACAATATTTACATAGCTCTTAAAAAATCTTTAAAATGTACTGAATGAAACCCGTTTGGTATTGTAAAAATAATTATAAAATAAAAAGAGATTGATAATAAGTTTATACATTAATAAGTTAAATAAACAAACTAAGTTCCTCTATTAAAATATCACTCATCTAATGCTGTGTTATGTTAATATACTCACGAAACACTCTTAAAATTAACGGCTGTTCTTTCAAAAACGCGACTTAAATTCTTTATTTTATAAATAATTTATATTTACATAAAATTTTGTTTTTATTTGCAATGTAATCATACCTTTACTTTCAGTTTATTGATATCCGGAGTTTTAGGATGATATTTAATCTTAACTGAGTATGAATCAGTTCTGTGGAACTTTTTAAAAAAATAATTACTCTTTTCCGAAGACTTTTCAAGTATACGCAATCAAGTATCCATAGAATTGACTAATTAGGAATGTTTAAGATTACATAATTTCGAAATAGGTGCTAAATGTAATGAAGGTGTTTTCTAAAAATTATGGAGATGAAAAGAATTTTCTAAATGCAAATAAAAAACCTATAAGCACGGTTCCCTTTCTTAATATTTCAAAGTTAATCATAAAAGATTATGAGAAGATTTCTAATTAACAATAAGCTTGCCCAGAGAAAATTAATTTTTTTAAGATGTATATGAGACTATTATATAAGTGTTTACATGGCACTGGTTATATTATCCCCGATCGAAAGAAAAATAGGGAGATAGAAACATTCGCATAAGATGCAAACTTAGCAGGAGCAGCAAATTATCTACATAAAAATTTAAAAGAAAAGATTTATAAGTTAAAATAACTTATCAAAAATAAAATTATTTAACTGTAGACTAATTAAAACATGATAATGCTCCTTTTACTTTATCCAGCTACAACTGAATGTTTTCTAATACACAATCAAATATAGATTATACGAATATAGAAATACAGAATAAATAATATATAAAATATAGATTATACGAATATAGAAATACAGATAAATCTATATAAAAATTACGATATAGCAGAATAAAGAAATATGTTAGAGGTAAAAGAGTGCGGATGTAAAAAATGTTTCTCTTCATCCTATTAGTCGAACAACGACAACAAAAAAATTTCATCCTCATATTATTACCAGAGTCATTAATTTTTTTCGGGGGGCAGGGGCGAGTGTAAATAGTTGTGACTATAACGATACGCAGAAGTTTCAAAAGAATAATTTATAAAAAATGCCTTTTAAGGGTGGTACTGGAAACTAGAATCATGGATTCCATTCACATTTGCAGAAACGCTAGAAAGGGATCTAAGTCATACAGTTTGTATATTTTCGCAGAGTAAATAAATGAAGAGGTCCGATGTAACTAGCAGATGTAGTCAAAAATCTATCGCAAGCTGCAGTTTCGTTGGAGCTTGGTGTAACTATTATAACGTTGTTGTTGAAGTAGCGGGCGCAGTTGCAGCTGTGTTTCACTTGGAATTGTAAAAATCTGACAGCATCCAAGGAGAAACTACGTCATTAACGAGATTTCTTGGCAGAAAAATTTTAAAAGCTTCTAAGATTGTCTTGTAGGACTGACAAAGTAGTGCGAACAATAAGACTAAGCTCCGAAAATTAAATTTTATTTTTAAATTGCAGTACCGGGATTTTGAAAAAGTTTCACTTTTCTCACTGTATATACTTATTTATGCTTAGTTTAAAGATCTGCGAGTTCGCTCTAAGTACAGAAAAATATATTCCCGAGAAATTTTATAATTACCCCATAAATGCAAATCATTATTACAACCACAATAGTATACGTTATTAGCCTGTTTCAGGTCTTGAACGTATACCAAAGGAAATTACGAACTTTTTCAATAAAGGGAAAATCACTAATTTGTTCCTATGAAAATAATCATACACTAATGCAGTTGTTAAAATATATACTATATATAAATGAAGCATTGCAAATTATACTGTACGTAAATGTTTTGATGTTATCCAAATCAAAAGCAATTTTTTAGCATGCAGCAGCGTCTCTGACCTTAGTTTGGCAATAGATTTCAACCCGTTTGCCATCTTAGCTGCCTTAATGGTATCTTTGTTTCTCACGATTCTAGACACGATTTTACGCGTCATACGGTATTGTATAGCGAAGTATCGGATAAACACGTTATCTTCATATTTTACAGCAGCACATTTTTAACCTGCATATTGATCCTAACAATTTTCTTCGTTGCTTGATTCCTTTCATTAACTTTCCTAAAACTCATTGTTAACGAATTTACAACACATTTACGCGAAAAAACACAAAATTACTTGAAAATTCAGAGTTAGAACCTTTTTGTTTACTGAATAGTCCAAATAGGAGTACTGATGTTTGTGAGCAGTTATAGAGAAAACAAAAAGAGGTAAACAAGGCATGACTTACTAAGATTTTTTTTTCTTTCATGTAAAAAATAAACTTCATGTTATACCAAAACTGTCAAGGCTAAAGACTAACTTTCGTATTTCTTAAACTATAACTGTGTGTTTCTATTCAGCCATTCAAAACGTAAATGTGACAAAAAGAACGTATCAAAGAAGTAAAAGGTTAACTGTTTTTTCGAAGTGTTTTAGCTTTTATGATCCTTTTGACTGCCGAATGAGCGAAAGATATTCAAAATTTTAGTCTACATTAACTTCTTTTTATTCTAATTTTATTATGAAAGTCAAATCTCTTAAAAATAAACCGGTTTTTTAATTTGATTTAATATATAATTTTGTAATAGTATTTATGAAATTAAAGTTACGCCGCGTAAGTTAAAAACTTTCAGATCATTCCTTTGATTCTTACATATCTTATTACGTATTCGTGTAATTTATAAAAAAATTACGCTCAAATTTAAATGGCACTTCAATAACGCGCAATCGATTACAAATCCGAAAATAATAGATATTTTTTTTTCAGGGTGTGCCTGGTATCAAAGGAGATATTGGACCTACTGGACTACCTGGAGTGCCGGTAAGTAAATAATTCTATTATCCTAAAAAAAAGATGTTATCGTTAGAAATAACTTCCTTTGCGTGCATTTTCTGCCGAAGTAAGCTTATGATAGAAAAATCAATAGTCGTAAAATATCCTTACTTTGACAAACAAGTCTCTTGTTCCACCTGTGTGTTTCACTGTCTAAGGAAATAAATGTGTTACGTACAACAGTAGTTGTGAAAGTATAGGACACGCCTTCATATCATCACATTTTTTTACCTTTGAGAAAAATATTAAGTTTTGAAAAACAAACACCAAGAAAAACAAAAACAGTGGAAATGAAATTTTTCGAAATTTTGGAAATGAAATCCACATTTTGAAATAAAATACGACTGGCAAATTCCTTGCCCAAGGAAATAACGGATACTCATTTCACGCATCACCGTTATTATGATTATCAGTCACAATTAAGGATAATAGTTTTATAAAATTATTTATTGTCTTATAACAGCTGATTTATATGTGTGAGTTTGCTTCTGATTTTGATCACGTATTTTTAAGTAAACCAATTTAGTCGTATCATTGATAAATAATTATATCTTATTATTATTATTGTCGGGAAACATGCATTTCCCCTTGCGTCTACGCGGTGCTGGAAAGGAAGAAATATGGAACTGTGTTTAAGTCCTAGTAGCAGCCTGGCTGACGTGGGTCTAGCTCTCGTCGTCGTTGAGGCATGGAATGCTAACGTGGATGTAGCTGTAGAAGACATGGGCGTTAGTAGGAGTCCAGTAGAGTGTCAGTTTCAAGTCTCGGTCGGTATATACTATATAGCAACATATCCCATTTTAGTTAAGTGGACCGATAAACATGGCACAGCAGTTATCATGATCCACTCAACATTTGTTTATGTTTTCTTCTTTTTCCACGTCTCATAAGTTTAAGTACATTGTTCATTTACCGTATTACGTCTTAAGTACGTACGCCTATTATTCATTTATATCTAGTGTTCTTTATGTTGTGCAGTTCTGATCTGTCACCTTCAACACCAAGTAATTGATATTATTTAATCATTTTATCCCAGAATTCTTTCGGTCCAGTTTTTTTACACAGTTATATGATATCTCAATAAAGTGCCGTTACAATATTAGATTGCGTTGAACATGTTTGGGACATTTTTTTATTGAACAAATGTTTCCAAAATAGCTTTTAATCGAACAATTTAAGGTTGCATATTCTGTACCTGTCTGCTTCATTAAACATTTCGGTCTTCTGTTTCATTTATTGCTTTCACACAATATTTCATACATCTGGTAATAAAGAAGTTGGGTTGCAGAGCTTTTGTCATAGGTGATAAGTTTTAGGATTGCACAACCTCACTTATTTGGAATACTTATATTTTATCATTTAAATTAAAAATTAAGCTATATTACCTAAGGGAAGACGTATTTATATTCTGCATTTAAGTTTCTCAAATTAATTTATTATTATTTGTTTGACAGGGACCGAAAGCAGAGAAAGGTGAACCAGGACCTCAAGGTGATCCAGGGCCTCCGGTTTGTATATGGATTAACTTTAATAAAAATATAATTTATAAACCACATTTAATAAACATGATGTTTACCTTTTGCCCCGTTATTTTAAAGTTTAAAGAACGTAGGATATATAAGTTGTATGAGAAAATTAGCTGAGTTACTTAAATCTGTTTTGTATGTTAATATTTTTTTGGTGTGCGTGTGTGTATGTTTGTGCATTTATTATCTGTACAACATTTTCTATATAATTCCCCAGTGGAAGAATTGATTGGACTATGTGAATTTACTTCCACATGCACATATCTGTAACAAGCATATTATGCATTTGCTACGCAGAGCCTTTGCAAAAGCTAAAATTTAATTACCCAGCATGAATTTGGTCGGATTAGGATTTAAAAGAATCGAAACCTTAATCAGTCTTAAATAATATTAATATTTATGCATTGAATTTCTTTCCTGAGTTACAAGAATCTATTAAGAAATCAACTGCACTGCTGCAGGTATTTGCAGAATAATTACAAGAATCTAATTATTCTGCAAATACCTGCAGCAGTGCTGTGGATATTCATAAAATCTCTCTTGCGATGATCTAAAAAGGCACTGTTATAGAGCTCATCTTATTCTATGAATTATAACAAAATATTGAATCTATCAATTATAATAACCACATTTTATGCATGTTTAGAGAATACACAATTTCTTTTGCCTTAGCTGCAGATATCAAAAGTTTCTAGAGCATATGCTGAGTACTGTTTATTCCAAGAAAAGGTGATATAAAAAGGTATTAGATCATCCCATAAATAATGCGTTTTTTTCCCTTTGTATGAAAGTTGGAGGGCGACAGGATAATTTACCTGTATCGACCTACTGTAATTTTACCTTATTCTTAATGCAAGTTTTGAAGAGCGCAATTCGATTTGAGCATTTATTTCTGAAAGCTATAATAAAAATGAGCATGGAGCATATTAGGTGTTCTTATTTTTGAGTTCAATAAAATATAGTTATGAAGGATATTAATGCTGTAATGAGTATCGGACAACAAAACTAATCCGGTGTCAACGGTGGTTCCAAGCAGGAAAATATAGTTTAAATAGCAAGTATCATCCTGGAAGATCTATAGACTTGGTAGGGACGTTTTGCAAACTCTGGTGGAACAAAATCTCTGCGTAACAATTAAGGTGCCAGCAAAGAATGAAAGGGAGTACATTTTAAATTAAAAAATAAATAAGTTTATGTTAAATTTTCCCAAACAAAAGAAGTACACAGATACTTTTTATGGGATGACCTGTTTTAAAATAAATTATGTAGAGTTAATCTTTGGGTCTTATTCGTCTTCGGTGATTTTAAGTGTAAAAGGCCCGTTGTGATCAAATACAATGCAAATAATAATAATAATAATAATATACAACTGTTTTTTCCAGAATCATTGTACTTTTTTCTTTACAAATATTATTTCTATTTTGAATTACTAGAGACAGTATAATTAATCTTATTCTTAAGGTTCCATTAACAGTGTTTCTTATATTTTCTTTTGATAAGAGACTAAAACGTACATTTAATACTTATTGCTATAAAATACCCTTTTCTCCTCTTTAATAGGGCTTTCCTGGACCTATGGGACCAAGAGGGCCTCCTGGTATACCTGGAGATGCGGTTGTAGTGAGTAAAGTTCCACAAAATAAAGATAATTTTCTTTATGATAACATAACAGTTTTTCTATAGATGGTTAATTAGAGGCATGTGTGTGAAAAGATAAGAGCTTTTTTATTAGTAATTTAGCTTTTAGTATCAGACACTGATAAACAATTACAAAAATGACAATTTAAATCGTGTTTTTATAATTCAGAGGTAATGTATTGAGATTATTCATTTACTTTATAATTAAAAGAATATATTCCAAAATTTTATTAGCACTTTTTGGAAGATAAATATTATCAGTTTCCTAAATATTTTTTATCCGTACACTTTTGTAAGTAAAGATAATTTAAATAATCTTTGCATAATGTGCTTTTTTTATACAATATCTCTGACGGATATAAGTTCCTCTGACTGCAGGATAAGAACACTACTAACAAAAGGAAGCATAACGCAATGTATAACAAAAGCGGCCTTTGATTTGTATTCCGCTTTAAATTCGTAGAGAATTTTTCAAGAATATTTGTTTTTATTTTTTAAGAACTTGTGCAAGTTTCTGAAAAATTTCCCGAAAAATAATTTTTGTATAAAATCAGAAATTAATTTTGCTTTTTTTCTTTTAAAATAAACACTGAAGAACGATAAAAACTAAGATAGAATAAGTAGGCTAAGACAAAAAGATAGAATATATAGGCGGGGGCTTTAAGCTCTATATATTGTACAAGAGGAGCGTGACTAGTGTAATGTGACAGAATATAAACTACAGTTTTTACAGTCAGTATATTTTATCAGCCCGAAAACCAGAATTACCAGAAGGTATTTAGTAATTAATTCAACATATTGGAATTACCTAAAATACTTGTCAGTCTACAATTGTATATTTAGCTGATAGTGCGCTTAAGTTACAAATTGAGACAGAAAATAAATAAAAATTTGATTTTTTTCCTTTGCATTATTACTTTTGTTATGTAAGTTTTGATAAATATTTAAGTAAAATTTCTCATTAAGTTTCATGCTTTTTTGTTTGCTAAAAGAGTTTTAAAATTTGTTAAGAAATCTTTCTGGCTATTCAGCTGCTTTTAGATCGTGCATTCGGCCCGCATGTAGTCTGAGACGATTGCAGTAGTGTATAATAATGAAAAAATTAATAATAATACACATTCGTCCAGAAGGCTAATAATATGAAATTAATGAATATTTTTATAGGTAGAAGGACTTACTGGACTACCAGGAGAACCAGGTGCTTTGGGCCCTCAAGTAAGATAACTTTTTTTTTAAATTGAATCTTTTTTTCCAAAACAATTAACTATTTCACTTTGTTAAAGACTTTAACGAAAATTCAGGAACATTCAGCCGCTTGTTTAAGCTTCAGGAATTGGAAATGATTATAGGATTATAAAACTATTATTTTTTTAAATAACTTGTAATCATTTATATTTAATAATTAATTAATTAAACCGTAACTATGAACATTCTTTTATAATTTATTAATAATGTTTAATTTTGTATAGGGTGAGCAAGGTTTACAAGGACTTCCTGGTCCTCCAGGTTTTCCGGGTAATAAGGTAAATATAATTTAAATTATCCGCTTGGTATTCTGAAATTTATTTATTGAAGATATGTATTTAAAATAAGTGTATCTTTCTCGCAAGTATTTCTTCGCAGTTGTCTTTATTAGCTGTTTTCTATCAAGCGAGAGAAAAAACAGTAATAAATAATATTGCTTCAGTTATTAATTTTATAAAAGCTTAAATTCAAAAATTAAAATATTAATATAAAAAGAACTTGGTTGTGCTGATAATGTCAAGGAACTACCTATTTAAATGATTTTTACAGTATTGTATATATATAATTTAAATTATTGAAGGCTTCGAGCCCTAGATTGACCCACCAAAATAAAAAAAGTTTTGAAACACATTCTATGTAGAGACATAACATTAGATTAGCATTGTACCGCAGTGCATGAGAATGTAGCAGCATTCACGGAAAATTATGGAAATTCCTCTCGCCAACACATAATTATATATAAACCCGACGCTCGTATAATTCCTTCGCAGCATGTCTCAACAGCATTACAGACTGTTTGGCTTATACTGGATTCAGTACTTCCATATAGGGAAAGCAGTGTTTTCCTAAGATAAAAATACTATGCACCTTTTAAAGGAAAAAAAATTCTGAAGAATTAAAATCGGGAGAAGAAATAACTTACGTTGTTTAGAAAGCAAAGCAAATGCATAATGCACTTGCTACATAGAGAGATTTGTTACTCTCCCGTATACACTGACTTCCAAGAATTTAAGAACGTAAAATCAACAAAAATTGAAAAGTAAAGCTTTAACTAACATTAAATTGGGCACGAAGGTAGCAAACGTATTTATGCATGAAAGCAAACAAGAATTTCGTACAAAGATGAAAGGAATGTTTAAACCTAAAAGTCTAAAAATAATATCCTAAAGGTCGAATATACCATCTGAGTCAGAAATCAATGATCCGTAAATTTTATAGAATGAGGGCAGAAATTAAAGCAAAAACACAGTTAACCATACAGTTAAGCTTTCCAAAAAATTTTTTAAAAAAATATGCTTTGAATTTCTTAAAAAAATATTGAGATATTTTAACAATAACGATTACAAATTAAATAAAACAATTGCAACTCGAACCCTTAATTCTTAAACCAAATTCTTGAATCGAAAACTCCTTAATTCTTAAACCAAGTTCTTAAAGCTGTTCAAAAAATCAAGAGTAATGAATAACATATTAAAATCACTCTAAATTAAAAGTTAATCAGCTACACAAATTAAAATAATACCGAATTAAATCATTAAAACTGATAGCAAAAAGGCTACACAACAGCAGGAGCACTCCCAGGAATATGCCAAAGACTTTTCATGGGATTAAGTTAGGGAGAATATGGATTCCAGTTCATACGAGAAATGCCCTCACTCTTGAGGTATCATTCAACTCGACTGGGACGGGCATTATCTTATTATTCATACGGAGAAAATCAGGGCCAACAGCTGCATCGTAGTCTCACAATAGTGTGTGCCCCCCGCAGCAGTACCTAAATAGTCATAGTATAGTCTTCATCACGATATCCCGCAGCAGTCATAGTATACCGCGCAGCCGTTTTTAAATATTTTCAGATGGAGCGATATTCCTCTGAAATTCCAGCCCACATCCTAATGGTCTGAATTCGATGGTGTTCTGGGCCTGATTCTCTGTGCCTCGTTCTCTACAGACTCTTACAAGCTTATCATATGATTCCAGGGCAAGTCTTTAGTTGTAAGTGAACAGGATGTTGCGCTAATCTGCGACAGTTTAATACTCGGACATATATTCCTTTCACGTTAAGCTTTCAATGCGCAGTACTTGCAGATATTATCTTGACGCTGGAACCATGAATGTAGCAGATATGGAAGTCGTTAGCCAGTTCCGATTGACAGCAATTTAACAATCTTAAGAAGGGGTTGTAACCTTCGGATGACAGGGCACGTGTCTCAGACAACTGTTTAACTTGTTCGGAATTGTTTCCACATTCGAAAAGTTACCAAATAATTAACGCTAATGAAAAGAACGATATCTTTGATTGACTGTCATGCATCAATGGATCTGATAGCATGCCACAGTTCACCATCTGCCATTCGTCTGCTTTCAGCCGTAGAAGCAAGAATATCGTTAACAATTTGCTTCGAAACTCGCAAAAGCCTCCTATCAACATTTAAATGAACCTCCTCAAACCTTTCAGAATGCTGACGTCTTTAATGACTAACTAGTTCGGACACGCAATTGTGATTAAGAGTAACATATGATATTTACATATTGCTGTCTTCATATGAAACGATCGTCAACTACCCAGATTTAACTACCTTTTCAAAATTACTAATCTGCATAGCGTGGTTAACCTTTGGAAAGCCACTCTACATCACCAACAATTGTTGCAGAAGTTTAAAGTCGTTTGAAAACAGAAGAAAATCCATGTTTTTATGTAGAATGGGGAGAAAAATTAGTGCTGATTCTATATCTAAACTATCTAATAAAATACCCTTTTAGTATTAAAGCACAGTACTTTTCATATCTGAGATATTTCACATGGAAAGTAGCCGAGAAATTAATATATGGAATTTGATATAAATGTAAGGTATTTTTTTCATCTTGCCGCATGTCTTTGTGGTACAAAGCACGTTCGTCAGGCATTTGAAGATCTGGAGTCCAAGTCTTGGAGAAAGCATTGTTGATTTCTTATGTCTTCTGCTTAAAATAAATCTATATTGTCTCGAACAAGGATGTCGTGAACGATAATTCGTTATGACCACGATTTAACGATTGAGTCGCCCTTTAAATGACAGAAAATGGAATGTGTTTTCTCACTCTTTACCAACTGCCTTCGTGATGCGATTGGAAGCACGTCCGGCTGATAATTCAGTTATCAGCCGTAATCAGTTCATATGTGACCAGGTCATCTGATATCAAAAATCCAAGAATGATAACATTCACATACTAATAATATAGTGTTAACGTAGCTCCTTCTTGCGTAACATACAGTGAAAGTGAACAGAGCATCAAGTGTAAAGCGATTTAGATGCGAATATATTTATTCATTCGAATAACTTTAAATTTAGACCATTTAATTATGCTTGTGGTTTAGGTGGAACCAGAAAGACGACTTATATTTCTATCCAAAATCAATTTGAACTATAGTTTCTTTACATAATTCTTCTGCACACTGATCTACTATGACATAAACATAAGTTATTTTAAAGTAAATCATGAAGAATGAATGAAAGATACGGTACTCAAATTCTTTATTTTACATTGGCCCCAAAGCTTTATTTAGAAGAAATATTGTTTATGTGTGTTCAGATACAAATATGAGAAACTTCAGAGTTAAATTTCTGCTACCAAAGCAACAAAAAATAAAAAATGTAAATATTTTAGCAGCTTTTTAGAATGTGAAAAAAGAAGTTTCTTCTAACAAAAAGTGGATTAATTTGTTTTCAAGAATTAAATTTATGAAGCATATTAAAATATTTAATATAATTTAAAATACCTTGGCAGCTATTTCTTTCGAAATGTTTTATGTGCTTGAAACGTTATAAATAAAATATCATTTTAAGGAACTCTTTCATTGTACCTTAGCTTCTTAAATCGTTCTAGATGATGACCCCCTAAAAAAAAACAGAAATATACAGAAAATTTATATTAAAAAAGAACAGAGTAATATTTTGCATTCAGGTATTTCTCAAATGAATGAGGAAGCAACTGTACATATTTCATACTGATTTAGAATTCTCAAATTGTTAATCTTGTAACCATGTATAACTAAATATATACAGGGTGATCATAAAAAAAATCTTCTCCGATGTATGAAAGCTCAGCGGCCTGACCGCTCAACCAATCGAAATACATTCTCATATATTTGTTATTTAAAGGTATACACTCGAAATTGTGGTGATTTAGAATAACATAGATCTTACGATTATGGTTGCAGTAGAAACATTTCGAGCAAATTGATCGGAGCATTAATAAACTATAAATGGTGTTGAAGCGATACACGTGCGAGGAAAACATCGACGTGAAACATTTGCAAAGAAGAGCATTGTAAAGGACCAATGACAGCACAAGAGAGAACAGGGGAAAAATTTATTAGATGTTTTCAACGTGTCCACCTTCGCAGAGGATAACGCATTGCATGCGGGAGATTGTTAATAACAGTGACGAACATAACATCACAGGATGAATCGTCTATGTCTTCAAGTTTTATGACATATTTCAAGTCTCACAGATCTAGTGCATTTGATGTAACATTAGTTTACACGAAATCTAAGGATCAGAAACAGAAATCCTTTGGAGTGAGGTCATGGGATCGCGATGGCTATCGCGACGACTCTATTTTATGCGTAATACACGTTGAAAGCTTGTTAATTCTGATAAAAGATTTTTCCCTATTCTCTCTTGTGTTGTCATTGGTCCTTTACAGTGCTCTTGTTTACAAATGTTATATGCCAGCAGCTGCCGTCTTTTTTACGTGTATGGTTTCAATGCCATTTATGGCTTTTTAGTGTGTTGATCTATTTGAGCAGGGAAAATATGAGTGTTGTCATTCGAAAATTTCGAAATGCATTCATTGTAAACGTAACTGTGAGAGCTCTATTGTTTTAAATCACAATCTCGACCGCATACGTTCAAATAAAACTATCAGAAATTTCTTAAACGGATAGACCACTAGGGGTTCATACACCGGAGAAGCTTTTTTATGACCACCCTGTATGTACCTTGCATACAGAAGTCCTTACCTGTCCTTTTATTTCTAATCCTTTGGTCGTAGACATTTGCTTTCAGTAATTCTGAAATATAGATATTTGTATATTTCCCGCTAACTGTACTTATAGTTAGAAAAAATTTGTACTCATTCTAAAAATTAAAATATAGAACCTGTGCTGAGAAATCTCGTTCTAAAGTTATAGATCATATTAATGGCCCGTATACGATTCGAACAGCGAAACGTTTGCATTTCAACGTAAGTAAAAATTAAATATTTATTTTAGAAAATCTCAGATAAGTAAATTTGTTAAATGACGGGAATTTATATGCAGACTGCCGTGAAAAGTATTGATCAGCATAATGTTTTTAAAATGAGATTTTGTTTTCATAATCTCGTAGCAATTCTTTTTTGAAGAAAATCCGACTGCTTTCAGTATTGTCACATAGCTAACTAGTAATATTATATATGCATAAATTAAAAAAAAAAAACTTCTAGTTTAATGAATTTTGATATGACTGTTAGATTATGATTTGAAACGCACAAAAATATTAATAATGTACTTTTAGCATTCGGAAACTTCCAAATTTCCTGTGCGAAATTTCGTTTGTCATATGGATAAAAAATTATAATCTAAAGAATGTTATAAATTAATAAAGCGTAAAGCAATATCCCTGAACGGCATTCAAGGGAAACAATTTAACTCAATTTATTCTAATTTTTTTATTAACAGACTCCTCAAAGTAAGCCGAAAATAAGCGCCGAATATTCCAAATAGTGAAATTAAATATTTAAATCAACTTACTTTGTCTTACGGGACAAACTTTTTTTTATATATATATTTTATAATGACTCTAAAATTTTCGTAAACATAAGTATAGGGACAAAGAGGACTGTATAAAAACTTAGACTTCGCAATTTTTACAAAATTAATTCTTTTTTTTATTTAATAATGCCAAAGCATATATATTTGGGTCATTTAAAGCATTTTTGTGATTTAAAACATATGCCTGCGACCAACTGTTGCGAAAATAAAGGCCAGGTAAAATCTTTTGTGGACAGTGTATTGACATTTGTACAATTTTTGAATTTTGTTAGCAAAAATGCATCTTTGAATTTTGAAGAAACTATAAAAATTAAAACTAATAATCAAAATCATATTCTCAGGGGGAACCAGGCCCAGTTGGATTGCCAGGCCCAGAAGGAAAACGAGGATTTCCAGTAAGTAAATTTTTATCTCAAAATATAAAAATGCTGATTTTTAATAATAATTATTATTCAGACCTCTAATAAATAAAGAATGGTTCCAAATAATATAAGCTTCCAATTTCTATTTTTCTGCTCTACACCATTCAGAATAATATCAGTGCTAAAGATAAATAATTACATCAAGATGATAATAGTAATATGTTCTCTTAATGGGGAATGAGTTATTATTTATTTCAGCGTGATGACTAATAAGCTGAGTTAGTAGAGATTAAGTTAAACGTATTGAAATTCGTACTTGTAATGCGAATAACTAAAGACACATGTATGAATATAATACGAATATGCTTAAGGGAAAGTAACAATAAAGCAATCAGGCAGAAACTTTATAAAGGCAAAACAATGATAAAGTAATATCAAGCCAATGAAATTTCAGGAATTATATTTCTAGTAACGACTTATTTCTATAATAAACCTAATTTAATAAGTATAAAATAAGAAAGTTTGGATGTTTCATAACTTTTAATATGCTATCGGAAATAAGAAAATTTTGGTAGTTTTATGACTTTTAATACGCTAATCATCGTAATCAAGGTTGAAAATTATTTTAAAATTCAAGAAAAGAAAAGAAAAATGACCAGGCTAGTCCACGTAGCGAATATCTTCCCTTTGTAGGTAATCGTCAACCGGCTAAACTCTATATAGACAAGAGTTGTCGTCTATTAACAGGAACCCAGAAGAAACTGCGCCTTTGAAAATTTGAACATAGGGCTCTAAGATCTCCTCCCTGTATCTCAAAGCAGTAAGGAAGTATTTGTCAAAAACATGCTGAGGTATACTGCCATCGAACATAAGACTTGAGATTATACCTCCACCGTAATCTTCCTGTTCCCTAACAAGGAAGATAGTGTAGAGATATTAGGATTTTTTTGGAAGCAGGCAAGATGAAAAATTAGCAAACGCCTTCGCCGGGAATCGAACCACGGACATCTGGAATACCGACCCTGCGTGGAGAATCACTACACCACGAAGGCAAGCTAGGAAAGTGGGAGAAATACTTTATATACTCCCCTTTTTAAAGGGAGATTGGGGTTTCCAGGGGACCCAATCGCCAAATCCTGGGTGTGGAGAAAACACCCTTTTAGTTCGGGCGCCACTGTAGAGACATTAGGTAATTAGAAAAGCCGGAGAGATGAAAAATTAGCAAGCGCCTTCTACGGGAATTGAACCACGGACCTCTGGAATACCGGCTCAGCGTGCAGAACCACTACACCACGAAAGCACTTCGGCCGCGTGCCACGAAGGCACGCGGCGAAAGTGCCTTCGTCGTGTAATGGGAAGGCGGGAGAAATACCTAATAATATATTACCGTGTTCCAGTTTCGCTCCCGATACAGATACGCCGATAATCCACATCTAGCCTGTATCTCCATTTGTTTGTAAAAAACATAGTTCTACACTGAAATCTGATACAAAGCGCATGTTTTTTGCACCATGCTAAAGGCGCTTTCCTGTGTGCTACAGTGAGCAGCACAGCTGCAGTGAGCATAGTCTGTGAAACTCAGGTGCCATGGTTTATTAGATTTTAGCAAAGCTCTCGAGGGCTATCTGCCTAAAGGAACAAATACCAACGTGGATGACTTTCCAAGGGAAATTGTCTCGTATATATGTTACAAATGGGTAAAACGGCCATGCAGCCAGCCCATTCACAGAATTCGAACCTCGGACCGAACTACCAGTGTTCAGCGAATTTACCGCTCAGCCGCTGGTGGGCCCAAACTTGGGCTCCAACAGCAGCTTATTTGAGAGCTCTTTGAAGCTATAGCAGTCCTCTGTCGTAGAACTGAAAGTGCCAAATAACGATCTTCAGTCGTCGTTGTGGATTGTAGTGGTGTACACTACTATACTGACTACCAATAAGTATTTGGACACCTATGCAAATGACGATATCTGCGGTCCCAAGGTACGCCACGGACACGCCGGTATATATCGTGTAGGTAACAGCATCGGCTTTAGTCGCATGCAAGATGCCTCGCAGTTCGGAGCTCTCTGATTTCGAGAAAGGTATAATTATCGGGTATCACAAATGTGGCCGATCCTTAAGGAGAATATCTAGCGATCTGAAGTACCCAATATGGACAGTGGCCTATGTGATTAAGAAGTGGAAGGTGAGTGGTGATTGTCGGAATGTGCCCCGAGTCGGCAGACCAACGAAACTGGGGGTAGAGACCGACGAGTGCTGTTCAGAGAAATTCGGAAGAACCGCACCCAAACGATAGCCTTCATCCGCGAGGAGTTTCAATAGGCCTCCGGGAGTATTGTTTCAATGAATACCATCCGTAAGGAAGCACATCTGCTTGGTTTTCATGGTCGTGTTGCTGCCCATAAGCCTTTGATAACAAAGTCCAACCGTGCTGCTCGGTTAATGTGGTGCAAGGCACATCGAAATTGGACCGTAGATCAGTGGAAACGGGTTCTTTGGAGTGGCGAATCAAGATTCACCCTTTACCTTTCGGATGGCAGGGTCTGGGTCTGACGTCTACCTGGAGAACGTCTCCTGCCAGAATGCATTGTGCCAACAGTCAAGTTCGGCGGGGATGGAATTATGGTCTGGGGGTGTTTCTCCTGGTATGGGCTAGGACCCTTGGTCCCACTCATGGTAAGCTCAACTCCGATACCTACTGCATTATTTTGGATGACAATGTGCTTCCTACATTGTGGCAGGTTTACGGGTTTGACCCCTGTTACTGTCAGGACGACAATGCCAGTTGTCATGTTTCGACGTTAACCAAGGCTTGGTATGGTGCCAATGGAGTTCATCGAATGGACTGGCCTGCCCAGAGTCCAGACCTGAACCCTATCGAGAACCTCTGGGACAAGTTGCATCGCCGAATTCATGGGTGCACTACCCGTGCAAAATTCCTGAAGGATGTCTTCACGGATTTTCACGGAATCCTATGTCTTCTCCAAGCCGAGTGGAAGAAAATACCACTAGCTGTCATACAAAGACTTGTGGAAAGTATACCCCGGAGGGTCCACGCTGTAATTACCTCTCGTGGAGGCTCTACCAACTATTGATTTTGAATAGTTTTTCTTTTCTATCACAGGTGTCCAAATACTTATTGGTAGTCAGTGTAGGAGGCGTTGTAATGTGACAATCTAACCAAATATCTATCTAGAAATCCTTAATTAAATTTACATGTGCGCAATATTTACTGGCCTGAATTCTTTGTGGTAGTACATTGCAAATTAAACCCTAGTGACAAGAATAACTACATATTTGACTTACCCAATAACCCACATGCATGAGACTTGCGGAGACACATTTGTTTTCTAATCTCACACTTATTTTATCAAACACATTTTCTGGATTAAATATGGAGCATTTATCACACACATATAAAATATCAAAATATCATAACTTAGAACACAAAACGTGAGAACCTAAAATGGAATAGTAGGCTAATGCCGAAACGTGACTATTCGGAGATAAATTATAATCTGGTCATATATGCAGTCACAATTTTCTCATATTTAATTTCGTGCAGTGCTTGCAGATAGCAATAAAATAGGCATTTCAGTATTGTTGGGAGCACCTCTATTCCTTATGCAATGGTAACTGGTACCGTCATCAGCACATAGTATCTATTTTCTATACGCCATTTGAGACTGCACTTCAAGTCAGCCCTCACTTGCCTGCTTTTCATGAAGAAGCGAACATGGCAATGAGGTGGGAAAACAAAAATTAAGGGAACCGCGCTTTTTTCTGCAACTGTGGATTTCTATGATTTCGCAGCAGTGGTCGAAAACGGATGACGGAAAATAACCTAGAAATTCTTATTTTAAAGTTACAGACTATGGAAATGCTTAGCATTTATGCCTGAAAACGGGAGTGACGTTTCATTTATATTCTGAGAAAATGAATGATTTTCAATAAGGACAATCGCATTAAGTTATCAAAATAATGGAATTCATTTCGATTCAGTCTCGAGATAAACCAGTCAGTTTTCGGAAGAAAACCGAAAATAATCATGATATACCATATCAATAAATATTTAAATATGAACATAATTAATATTTTTATTGTAAACTATAGGATCTTGATTATGTTTAAATTTTTGCTGTGTATATTCTATATACATTCGACCCCTTGATCGTCATAGTTTCCTTTTAAAACTTCATACTTACCTCAATGGCAACAACTAAATCAAAATCGAGATGCTTGGCGACTTCATCCCTTATTTGGTGATATAGCTGTGTCATTTGACGATAAAGTTGCTCTATTTCAGGGTTTCGCAACCAAAGAGGAATTCTCTTCTAGGGAAGAATTCACAGTTTTACAGATGGAATGCCATCACCCTTTCATTTAAATCTTAATTATTTAATTATTGTTTGTGAATATATAAAACTACCTTTATTCAAATTTTGGTATTCATACTTTTCTGTTTAATTTACACATTAAAATTTTAAATATTTTAAAATTAAATTTTAATTAAAATTAATTTTCTGTTTAATTTACACATAATTACACTGTTAATAAACACATTAAAATAATCTAAGTTTAAATAAATGTACATGTATTTTTCGAGTTTGGGAAAGAGAGAGAAAAATATCGTTTAACAATAATGAAAGGGGTGCATGCGGCAAAAATTTGAGATCCTTGCTGTGTTTCAACATTTTTTACCGACTTTACTTCAGTTAAAAAAATTCATTTTATAATATTTTGATAACATTCATATTTGATAAAGCACTTCTTGATCACAATAAGCGATGCATTTTCCGTGCTTCAGTATACAAATGAGCGTGACTTCAGCAATTCGAAAACAATATCCGAATGATAACATGAACAGCGACTACATAAAGCGGCGCCTACTGTATCAGCTATGCATGTGCTCAAACATTATGGTTCAGATGGAAATAAAAAGAAATTTCGATGAATTTTCTGAGTAACAGCCGAAAGGATGTCGCTGCTTTTGAAGAAAACCGGCGTAACTCAAAAATTGTGACATTCGCTTATGTCATAGTCAAAACAAAAATGTGCTATATTTTATGTGAAACGGTATCACTAATTTTTCTTAGTGACACCCTTAATATTCAGTTACACTTTGATTAAATCTTTTTTGTTCTCTAAACTAGTAGTTTTCTAGTTGTGTGGTTTTTCTTCCAAAGCAGCAAATGCAGACGTATAGACACAGCTAACAAGCTTCAATATTAATCACATTTTCTTTAGAAATCTTATTTTCGATGATTCTCTTTTTCAGGGTGAAAGGGGTGAGTCAGGACCTCCTGGACCTGTAGGTCCACCTGGTCTGCCAGTAAGTATTATTACAATAATGTTTTACTTATAATATCTTGCATTTTGCTTGTTTTAATGTATTTAGTACATAATGCATTTAGAATGCTAAACCATTTTTATTGTCATATCTATAATGGATATTAAAAAATGTAACGAAATATTCTAACTTTAGTTTGTAATAGTCTCTTATTTCTCTATTTTAATTTGTATATTTTCCTTTTCTGTCCTAAAAACTGGGACTACTTATACAAGCCTATCGAAACTGCGCAATTTCAGAATTAATGGCTAAGATTCTTACATAACGCTAATGACGCAGGCCCTTACGTAAATGCTTTACCTAATAATAATTTTAGACTCTCAAAATTAATTAATCAGAATACGTCTAAAACCGAAACTTATTCATTCTGAATGATTCATTTGATCTTGAACACGTCGCATTCGCTGTCAGCGTCTCTTGCTACTTAGTCACTGCTTTTTTTCTTTTTAAAAAATTTAAAAATTCTAGATTAAGCGCTTTTTATGCCGTTTTAGAGGTACTGACTAGAAAAGTGTTAATTAAAAGAATAAAAGGAAATAAGGAAATCGACAATGAGAGCAATTATTTCTCTTACTTGCAAATACATTATTATGCCATCGACATCATGTAATAATAAAATTCCATTGTCAAAAATACACTTAAAATTCTAACTGTATGTTCTTTTCATTTTTTAATGGCGACGGTCTCTTATTTGAAAGTACGTGGAATTAAATCCACAGCCCCGTAGTCAAGTTGTTTATCCCGCCTTTTTCTACACGTACAGTTATAGAATGTTCTGGAGATATTTAAAGCGAATTGGAATGGCTGACGAGGCTGACGTCATTTCTTTGAAGCTCCGCCTTTCCAGAGGCTATAAAAGGACTCGCAAAGGAATATCGCGGTCTTTTCTTAGTAAACTTCATACAAAAATTTATTAGTAATTCATTTTTATTTACTCCGGAAATATGATTTTTGTAACTGCTATTTCTCCTGACCAATAATAAATGGATCCTGTTTTTTAAACTTATCGTCTGATAATTTAAGCTACGACTACATCTATATTTCTTCACCAATATATTTATTCCGCACAAAAGCTGGTACATCACACACACACACACACACACATATATATATATGATCATGTAGGAAAGTTGATTGGGTAATTGTTGATTCATAAATACGTAATGGAGTGCAAGCTTGGCGGCTGGGCAGATTAAATAAGAAACAGTCGTAGCAGATTTAAATAAAAATTCATTTTATTTTAGACATTAAATGTGTCGATGCAGATCATGTTATTTTTGATATCGCTGCAGTAAGAAGATCTGCAGCAATCTAGTTAGGCCGAATATCAGAAGCGCATTGTGATGTATTCAGAATGAAATCTTAATTCAAAGAAGGCAAACTTCGATTTCGATTTTATTTTGATTAGATAATTCATAAAGACATAAATATGGAAATACGAGTAACATAGCCAAGAGAAAGTTAATCATAAGCAATCGATAATTGATGTTTTTAAAACGGAAAGGTGAAATACCCAAAACGTAGCTCGTACTTTAAATTCTTTTTTCTTTTTATTTTATAAAATATTAAGTTCTGTAAAATCTTAAGAAGTGTTTTTCATTATAATTCTTTGCGGCCTTTAGTAGAAGTAGTATGAAGTAGACAGTATATTATACAGTATAAAGTAGGCCTTTAGTATGAAGTAGGCACTTATATTATACAGTATAAAAATAAAATAAAAATAAAATAACTCAATTATCTGTTGCCCTACAAAGAAAACTGAGCGATGAATACAAAATACAACTTTCATAGGCTTTAAAATAACATGTATTTGAAATTAAAAATATAGGGCAGCATGCAGAACGGAATATGAATGGAAAAATATGTATAAAATTCCGTTATACCTAAATACGATAATTGTTAGAAACGACAGATGCCTTACTCGTTACAAATTTTCACCCCTTCACGTCATGTCTCATAGCTTCATTATTATTTTTTTAGAAATGTACCTATGACTACTTTTCAGTTCATGAGCTAGATGTAAAATCTTAAAATGATGTAACCTTTCGATTAAAATAAAAATTCTTAAATGGAATAGGGTTTCATTTATGAAAAATATGAAATTTGGTATATGAGTCAATTAAAAAACAAATCATCTTCATCCTCTAAACCGAAATAAAATAGTACTGGCACCGAAGTTTCAGATGTCAAATTTATCGAACCTCTACCTCTTGCTTTAATAAACTGTCTACGCTTTAAGTACTTCATATTTCATGAAAGAAAGAGATAATGGGATGCATTTTCATGAAACAGGGCTACAGAAGATATATTCATTAAGCACATTGAAATTTGTCATAAACTGAAGTACAATCATAAACGTACTTATAAATCAGTGGCACCTTATGAATTGGCGCCTTCTTTCATGAACGAATACGAACTTCCTTATAACATTCTGTTCTATTCATCAGCTTATTTAAAAACTTCTAATTATTTCCTACAAAACAGACAGCATTAGAATATTGACTTTGCTATTATAACGGTTTCAGTTCAACCCAATGACGATAGAATATCGATTTTGTTTGTATAAAGTATTCAATTCAATCCAAGGACGATCTCTTTATCGATTACGAAATACATCGTTGTGAAATTCAGTTTCAGTGGGATTCTGGTTTACAGACAAGTATACATAATGAGACACAGTCGAGTAATTTCATGATGGAAATTATTCTATTGAATTCCTATTAATTCAGTGCATGGAATGAGTATTAACATAAATAATATACATTCAGAGTTTAGGTTCTGTTTGGCAACATTTCTTAAACGATAATTGCTACAAATTGTGCATATATTGATTCGTTTTCCATTATATTGAAAACGAAAAGGTGATTCGTTTTGAATTATTCTTGCAAACCGAATGATATAGTTACTGAAATTCAAAAATACTTTTATGCCGTTCTGATACCTTAGAATATATAAGAAATTAAACTAAATGCGAAATAAAATCTGTCATTGAAACTCGCGCAAGTTAAATTACAATGTAAACGAAGTTGTTCAATTAACGAGATTCCGCACTAAAGCTTTAATGCCGCTTTTTCAGGCACAGATATTTCCAGATAAGAACATTGATGAAATCTATAAAGTTAAACATCTCATGTACTTCAGTGTTATTATAGAAAAATATATATCTAAGAACCAGGTGCCACAATGTCACAATTGCCAGAAGTGGCACCATTCGTCAGAAAATTGCCATGTCGCACCCAGGTGCGTCAAATGTGCTAGTTTTCGAAAACTGGCCTTAGTGACAAACCTGGCAGAATTGATAACACAGTCTGTGTAAATTACCTTGGGCCTCATGTCGCGTCCTATAGGGGTTGCCTTAGGTTCCCCACCTATAAAAAGTCTATTAAATCATCTAATGTCAAGCCAGGGATTAGTTATGCCCAAGCAATAAAACCTACAACAAACTCTAGCAAGGCCTCTGCCACCAATGTCTCTGCGGATGCGGGTAACGCTACTATGCAAAATGAATCAACTAATTCCTCTCATATTCCTGCTAATAAGGGTAATAGTATTATTGCAAATGTTAAAAGTCAAGAATTACCCCCTGTTAATTCAAATTCTGCAAAAAATAGTACAAATGATATATTTGAGTTAATTAAAATCATGAAAGAGTTTGAAAGCATATTTGGATGTAATATCAGCCAAATTACTTATATTTATAAAAGTAAGCTACCCGAACTTCGCAAATGTGACAACATATTAGGCAAAATTCATGTTTTGCATATTATTCTTGAAGAAATTCACGGGCTAGCTAATAATGTTTAATTTATGGATACTAATCTTATAATTTTAACATGGAACGTTAACGGGTTACGCCATAGACTAGATGAATTACGTATCTTTGTAAATGAGTATTGCCCTGATATTTTACTCCTATTAGAACACAAGCTTAGTTCACAACTTACTTTCCAGATTGCAAACTACTGCCTCTATAGATATGATCGTGAACCCACAGGTATCAGGCATCCTGGAGGAGGGCTCATCATCCTCATTAAACGCTCCATCACCCACCACCTTACAACATTGCCACAGCTTTTAGCCGTTGATGCCCTAGCTATTACAGTCACTACACTCACTTCACACCCACTTATAGTTATCTCTGCCTATGTCCCAAGCAAAAAAAGACCACAAGCGAATACTGCGCGTGACTTTAAAGCGCTATTCCAACTCAACAGAAAAACAATAATAGGCGGAGACTTCATTACATCGAGCATGGAACTGCAACCATTCCACATACCTAGGTTCTGTAATTTACGGTTTTTCCAACGAGGCAGGAATTACTATTGCAGCTCCAGATACTCCAACACGCTACAATGACAGATCAGCCAATGTTCTGGATTTCTTCCTTCTCAAAGGTTGCTCCTCAAGATCCATCCAAACTCTTAACGAGTTATCCTCTGACCACAACCCGGTCATGATTAAAGTGGAGACCTCTGTCTGTAGCACACCACACAAAAAGGCCTTTATTACTAACTGAGCAGGATATGCCAAAGCCTTAAACTACACTACACTACACATTCCAACAGCACGCACAGGTGATGAGTTAGACGCATTGGTCACCAGCTTCACTACTGATCTGGTAAATGCTCTTGATGGCAACAGCACGCCTGTTACACATAGGAAAAAAGCCACTGATCCTGAACTTAGAAAGCTCATTCAAAAACGAAATGCTGCACGCAAGTAATGGCAAAGGTACAGATATCCAGCGCATTAGTGCAGACTGCACTAAATCGATTAAACCATCAGGTTAAGGGTCTTACGCGTCAACACGCACAACGCGACTAAGCCACTTATCTCTCTTCCCTCTCAGATGAGAAAAGCTCAGTTTGGAAGGCGACAGCAAAATTAAAGAGTTGCTACACCAACATTCCGCCCTTAAACGGCCGACAACAAATTGCCACCACAGAACTTGAGAACGCTGAGTCACTAGCTGATCACTATGCTTCTCAATTTTGCACAAACAACATCTCCCACTCTCCACGGAACACTTGGTTACCAGCACACTAACACAATTCCTCTCAAAACCACGCATGAACAACATTACTCCTGTCAAACCATCAGAGGTTTACGGCTACATCGAGAAAGTCAAGAAGAGTCCTAGACTGGATAAAATTTAAAACAAGATGCTCAAAAACATAGGGGTTCTTATGCTTTTAAAACTTGTTGCAATCATCAATGCCATGTTACGCCTGGGAAAATTTTCTTCGCCATGGAAAATCGCCATCATCACTCCAGTCGCAAAGCCTGGAAAGCCACCATCGGAGCCATCATCTTACAGACCCATCAGCCTTTTACCTTCACTAAGCAAGGTAGTAGAATTTATCATCTTGCAGAGAATCCTTGCATGCACTGAATTAAAAAACATCATTATTCCACAGTAGCATGTGTTTCGTAAGAAGCACTCTACTGTACACCAGCTGTATAGGGTCACTGAGCTGATCTCACAAGGCCTCCAAGATTATCAGACTACAGGTGCCATCTTCCTCGATGTAGCTAAAGCCTTTGACCATGTTTGGCTCGCGGGCCTCATGCACAAAATCATCACTCTGAGCTTCCCAGAGTACATCATAGCCACCACTTATTCCTATCTTAAGGATAGACACTTTATCGTTCGTGTAAGCAATTCACTCTCTACCCCACGGGCTATCAAGGCTGGCGTCCCGCAAGAGAGCCTCCTTGGGCCCATTTACTATAATATCTACATGCGACATGCAACGGAGGGCGTGGGCACCACCCCTCTACCAATACGGTTAATCGGTATAGCGCCATGTCCACCTTTATCTAGATAACCATACGTGGAAATTGTGCTAATACACTAACACATAAGCGTACATACAAATTTGGTACTTAATACAGTGGCGTTAAAGCTAATTAATGTTAAACACTGGATAATACATTGCCATGTTACAAGGTGTATGCAAAAGCATGGATACGGTAGCATATATACATAACGTGTGTACTTCATATGTTGTTTACACTATGATCCTTTGAAGCATTATCATTAGATACACAAGACATGCACATAATGAAACATTAGGTTACAATGTTATGCTAGAATAAGTAATTAGTACAGTGAATTAAAAGTTAGACTCTAGATTAGTACTGTGTGTTACAATGTCTTGCTACTAGATTTTTTTGTGCTGTTTCCTAGGTTCATTAACCTATGTACAAAGATATTAATATACGTGTATTAGGTACACAATAATCAGTGGGTACGTGCGTTAGGTACCTGCTGTTTTAACATGCATTAACAATATGTACTTAATACAATGCTGAATAAATAATTGGTGCAATTAATTTTAGAATGGGACACTAGTTTGATTTTTGCGACACGGTGCCGTGTTACAGGATAAAATGTGCCGATGCATAGTTACATTGTCATATATACAGAACATAAATTCATATATATATATACAGACATTTTGAGTACAGACACATTAGGTACATGATTATTCAGTGTGTAATAGATGTATATTAACTATACAGTGCCAAGATATTTGATAATACTAGTAGATACATGGGTACGATTACATATAAACAAGGACATACAGACACAATTACATATGGACAAAACTATAATATCTACACGAACGATATCCCACAATCACCACACACTACCCTGGCTATATACGCCGATGACACGGCAATTCTCTCAAAAAATGCATCTCCTGGCCCAGTCATACAAGCACTCCAAATACACATCCATACACTTGAGTCCTGGCTAAACGCCTGGAAAATAAAGATCAATGTGGATAAATCTGAGGCCGTCTGGTTCAACAAAAGGACTAACATCGATAATGTAGACTGCATCCACGTGTTTGACATCCCTATTCAATGGACTAAGGAAGTCCGATACCTTGGAATTATTTTGGATAGGCGACTCACCTGGACCCCACATATTACACAGATTATAGCCAAGTTCCGTAAACGAACACTTACCCCCTTAATTGACCGGAACTCAGTTCTTTCTATTGACAACAAATTACTCATTTACAAGACCCTTTTGCGTCCCATCCTCTCATATGCCTGTCCTGTTTCCCCAAACAGATATTCCTATATGCTAGTTACTAATGTAAAGAAACTCCAAATACTGCAGAATATCTTACTCAGACAAGCGACGAATTGTCGATGTTTCGTCAGAAACTCGGCAATTCACCAAGAGCTTAAGGTACCAACTTTATATGTTTACTTTGCTAGTCTTGCAGATAAATGTTTCAAAAATATACCAAATGTTAATAAAAGCACCATACCAGTGCTAAATTATGATTGGAATATTGACAGCAAACGAAAACGGCCGCTTTCGGTCCTCAGATACCTTGATCATTAACTGTCTTTCTAATGATTCGTATACCCAGTTGTCCCACATTAATTATATCTATGCACAATCTCATACTGTATTATTTTTCTGGTCAGCTGCTAATGGTTGTATATATTTACCTGTATATAATGTATATATTTATATATTTTCCTATATTTTCATTCTGCATTTATGTTTACTGTCATTTTATGTTATTTACTCCTAATATGTAAACACTACACATGAGAGACTCTCAAATTCTGTGAGCTAAGGCATTTCTTTTCCACGCCATTTGCTTATCCGCGCACTTATCTTCGCCATAGCCTGCACCGCAGGTGTGTTTCTGTTGGACTCTTTTATGTGCTCACCCAGACTGTGAACTGTTCTGAACTTTCATTTTCTTTGATATGACTCATAAAATGTTCGAACTTCGAAAGTCGGAATCATTACGCCGGGATAACATCTACACGCGGGCACCCGTATCTGCGAACCTCATCGAGTTTGCCTCAGCCGAAGCTATGCTTCGATGGGTTCTAGAAAGGCTTTCTGAAGAAGACATTAAAAAGCAGTAGTGGACGTTTTACAAACTCCTTTTTTCTATGGAATAGAACTGGGCGATGGTTTCTTGAAGAACTACACTGTTACAGCTAACAAAATATTGATATCCTCTCCAACTATAATTCCAGAATTGGAATGTCAGGTTACGAAATATAATAGGCTTTTCCGAATCTCAGAAAAGGTAAACTTCGGAAGTGTAAGAAAGAAGATTACGAAAGAGTTGCTTGGGGATGAACATGAAACTGTGTTTATAGAATTTTTACATCCAGGAAAAAGGATAAGCTCAGATGTTTACTGTCAGTCTCTAAAAATTGGCTTCAGATAATTTAACACAAGAGGAGTGTAATGCTTACTTAAGATGGCGAAGTAATTTATCACAAAGCTGGATCACACAAGCGCTACTTATACTCAAAAACACCCATTAAGTCATTTCGCTGAATATAAAATAACCCATCTCCCTACGCTACAAATCTAATGCCAGCTAACTTTCACATTTTATCGCATTTTAATGTCTTTCGCCTAACAACGATTCAACGATGAAAAAGCGAAGCGGTAAAATTAAAAGCGAGTTTCTCTATTTCTGTGTAACAGTGCTATAAATGGTTCACATATATTCGAGTGCCCACCAGCGGCCGAGGGGTAAAATCGCTGAACACTGGTAGTTCGGTCTGAGGTTCGAATCCCGCGAACGGGCTGGCTGCATGGGCGTTTTCTCCATGTGTACCGTGTATACAAGCCAGTTCCCTTAGAAAGTCCTCCACAAAGGCATCCCTCTCCTTAAGCAGATAGCCCTAGTGTGCTTTGCCGTATTCTCAATACACCACGCCACACCATATATTCGAGTACTTGTAAATACATTACAGATTTAATTCTAGTTCGCTCAGTAAAACAAAAATTGTGGTAAAATGAGAAGTATAATTTTTTCCCACATCGAAACGTTTTGTTTCTGTATTGCAATCTATCAAATAGAAAGTCATTTTTACTTTTTTATAGTTCGCTATGTTGTCTGGAGAAGAACTTTGAATATTCTTCAAGAATTTTTTTTCTTTCCTTTCTCACGGCTCGTTTTAATGCTTGGCGTAAGAGGCCTTATTTTAGATTGTCTCGGCGTTCAAGATGCCATTCTTTGTATGATTAATGACTTTTAGCTTTTGCCTTGAAATGAGAGAAGTGCATCTCTTCTTTCTAACATTTGACTTCAGTCACTTAAAGACAATGAGACTGTTATCAGTTCTAATTTCGACACAATATTAGAAAAGTATTTGACAGATTTCGTAAATTAATGTCTACATATAAAGGTGTATGAAATTAAAAAAAAATTACTGTAATAGTCTTACAAAAAGAGAAGGTCGTGACATAAATGTATATAAATTTAAAGAAAAAACTTTTCAAAACATTAAATTTTCAAAACATTAATTTTTGGAAATGATACATTAAAACAATTAATTAAAATCGTTTGGAGAATCTAAGTATCCAACTGATAAATTTTTGTTAATAAGAAAACGTACATCGTCAGGCTTTCTAAAGCTTAGATTAACTTTACTAGGCCAGAAATAGAAATAAGTATACGTTTTATGATATAAGAAATGTCTCTTATGAAATAAAATACCAGTGTCTAGAAGATATTAATACGTATCTTCATTTCAGCAAATTCCAACTGGAAATTTAAAAATATTAATAATGCATTTATCTAATAACTAATTCGTTTAAATAACTGATAAAATTTTATAGGGTTTACCTGGACGAGATGGAATCCCTGGTACAAGTACTGAAGTAGCTGTTATTCCGGTAAGTGCGTTAATGTTTCCTTTTTAATAATTTGGAGTGAAAGTATCGGATATCATTTACTTGCATTACAAAAATTTTAATCAATAATAGATTATATGTATTAATCAAAATTAATCAACAGAATCTCATTTGTATGTACAGTTTTAAAAGAAATGAACGCCTAATCTGGCAAGTAGAGAGAGACTGACAAAATATTTGAACATAAACATTTCTTTAATCTTCTTAAGCAACCCTAGGCATAAAGAAGGGGGCACGTTAATGCAGTTTATTTACAGATCTCGCTATATTCTAAAGTAGACTTGCACTCAGCAACGGACTTTTGGATAAGCTCAGATGACATTAGGAAGACATTTCATGAAATCAGTACAATAGGAAAAACGAAGTTAGGTGATTGAAATACTTTCATTGGAGTTGGAACTCTGTTTTCATAGAGGGAGTTCTAAGAGCACAAATTTCTTTCAGCTCAAACCTGAGTCGTGAAATAGTATTATTAGACAGTGTATTATTATTATTAGACAATATATTATTAGACATATTGGCTTCCTTCTTTTTACTAACAAAATCATGAATTTCATTGGAACATCACCAATAAAATATAATGACATTTTGAAAAAGAAAACCATGACAGCAATTAGTGCATAGAAAGGACTCATTGAAATAAGGAATCCTGAGCTATCTCGTTTATGTGAAGGATAAACGCAATAGCAAAAGGAAAAATCATTAATCGATAAAAAGAAATTTAAGGAATTTTATGGTTTATGATTTTATGTATACATATATATATATATATATATAATGTAATCATATACATATATGTGTGTGATTACATTACAGCATGCATATATATATATATATAGTATATATATGTATGCATGTATGTATACGCACGCACATTATATCAATATATCATTATAAGAGCACAGGCGCGATCTTCCTAGCCGGCACAAGCCGGCCCTATGATCAAAGATGGGCTTGCCAAGGAAAAAACAAACATAAGAAAAAACATATGAAGTCCAACATCTGAGTCGCAGTGCCGAATTCCAATTCTATCTTTGTTCGTATTTATAATCTTCATAATTGTCTCTGCAAAATCTTTCAAATTTGAATATACACACACACATATATATTTGCGTACAAAATTGAGAGAATTTTCACATTATGCCTAATTTTATGAAAAATATTGAACCAAAGGTACTAATTAGCCGCTGAAGCATTTTGCTAATATTCAGAGTCTTATTCGCAAGTGCACGCGCCCGTGTCTGCGGAGGTGTAAGGGACGTAAGAAGGGGATTCGGCTATTTGTGTGCTCACATTCCATCATGATATTCGCCGTGTTTTTCGGCAGACTTGGGTAAGATATCACCTAAAATGAATAGCCACGAAAGTATGGATGACTGAAAGAGATCTCCCTCTGAAAGCCTATTCCAGAGTTGATAACAGCCTTGCTGCGGGAATGGAATGGACTGCCACAGGTATTTCTCAACTGCCTTTTGTCCAGTATGCCTCTCTGGCTGTGAGAGGAAAGCATTCCTCGTATTAGACGTATTTCCAATTAGATATCATAACGTGGATTTTGGACATCTCTCACTATGAGCTTTATTGATAATCATGCCTACACGAAATGACTTTTCAATGATACATCTCTTTCTCTGCTATTAATTGTACATTAATTAATATCTGTCCAGTAGCTTATCAGAAATTGGTCATAATATGCAGATTCTCCTACTCGATTTGGCTTATTTTTTATGGCGAAGCAATCGAGGGCTATTTGCCTAAATGAAAAGATGGCTTCAGGGAGGACTTTCTAAGGGAAATTGGCTCGTATACAGGTTACACATGGGGAAAAACACGAAAAAATGCATGCAGCCAGTCCGTCTGCCGGAAATCGAGCCCTAGACCAAATTACTCATATTCAGTAACTTTACTTCTCGGCCGCTGATGGATGCAAATTCTCTTAATTTTGCTTAATTAATGTATACACCGTGTCCTCAAATCTCGTTACTCTGGTGTTTATTTTTGCAACCGTTGGTAGCAAACATAAACTTCTAGTTACAAAAATGTCTTAAATGACACAAAAATATCTTAACGTGGCATTTTTAAACTTTAAGGAATAAATTTTGTAAATATTACGAAATTTAACTTTTCACATGTTCTTCCAGTTCCTAGAACTCCGCTGACTGAATACTTGAGGATTATTAATATTAAATATCGATGATATTTAATCAAATACACTACTCATTGGTTATCATCCTTCTCAGTCGCGGCGATCCTATTTTTGAACCATAGCTTCTTCCTTCTGGCTTCTAGTGCCAGATGCCCGTATTAATTTGAATACTATCTATCTATCATCTGTAGTCAAATGAAAATAAATCTTTCATAGAGCCATGTCTATCAAAGTAATGTTGAAACATGGTTGTTAAAACACATAATTGTTTCATCACTGAACATGCTTTTAAGCGGAAAAAGAAATAAATATATTAAAATTAAGTCCTTTTAATTTTTTATCGTTCGAGTTTACTAAGAATATAGTATAAACAAGTGAAAAAAAAACCTAAAATTACCTCAAAGATTTATTTATTTAAAAAGAATTATTTTTAAGAGCATTCCATGATTTTAATGTTATACATATGCTCAATATTAAGATTACCATGCCGTCTGTGTTTAAGACGGACAGTTTCCATTTTAAAATCAGCTGTCCATGCCAGTAATAGATTTCAGTAAATTAATGAAATAGCCATAATTTTAGCTAAGGATATAACTGAGGGTTAAATGAATGACTTTAAAAAGCGATATCTGAACAAATAATAAGAAACAAAAAGTCCGAAAGCTTTCAGATTTTATATTACGTCCAAAGGGGCGTTTTTTTTAACGTTTTGTGTGTTACGTATATTTATTAAATATCATGTTCTTCGCACTTAAACCATAAAATTAAACCATACCTTAACCATAAATTCAATTCAACAGCAGTATAAAAAAATATTTAAAATGAGCATATCTTTAGAATTTCCGATACACAGTCTCGTGCGCTGGAGATAAAAAATGTTTTTCTTTTTTCTTTACAGTGTTTTCATTGCTCGCTTTAAATCGCTGAATTTGTTAATAAAAAATTCGTTAAAGTTTCACAAAATATGAAATAGATAATAAAACAGAATTCCAAATTCAAAATTTGGGCTTTCAAATGTTCATATTTGGGTGGAGACGTACTTTATTCAAAATTTGATGGCTGTAGGTACCGTTGCTTTATCACACTGCGAGAAACATACATGAATTTATGCAGATTCTTCATTATTTTAATTTCTTGAAATATAATACAGGGCTGTAATATTTGGTGGCAACAATTTAAAAAGTGATTCGCCGTATATAGTGAATCAGCGCGAAACGCCAAAACGAAATTAATAGCCCTTCCGGGCTAACGCCCTTTGGGCTAATAGTTAATTTTGTGCTCCGAAAGGCTTTCTTTCGGCTAGCTTTAAAACTCAATACGTCTCAAATAGAATATTTTTTTTGCTCTCGGAAATTTAAGAACTGTTGATAGAATTCATTGATTTAAGGAGGGGGATGGCAGTTTTTAACCCTAAATGTTTGACTGTTTGGCATAGAAAATAACATTGTGTAACAAAGTGCACATTACACATATACACAAACACAAACTACAGTTTCTAGAAGGCAGGAAAACCTCATAATAGTTCAGGAATTGAATGGAATGCTCATAATATGCTACTGTGACTAATAGCACTTTCCTGACCTAATCGGTTTTATTCTGGAAAAAGCATGCAAGACTGCGTCTGTCATTGGCATGAGCCCTTGTACATCATACAGGTGGCGGTCGGACTTTTCACAGCTCCACCCCAGTTTTGTAGGAGAGCACCCGGGAAAGGGGATCCGAGGATATCCCACCCCTCTTTTCCTACCACTAAACCATTCAAGAGGACTTTTCGCTCGTATATTTTGAGTGCCCCATGTCGCACAGCCTTTAGAACTTTACAAACATTCATACCTTCCACGGGATTCGAACCCATGCCCTTCAGTAGGGCAGTCATTATCACTAATCAATATTATGCATGCGCGAAACTCTGTTCACAGTTCTGGTCGAGGTAACTACAATTAACTACCTTCGTTTGTATTAACTTACTTAGAGATGAATACATGTAAAATATACAAGTAATTTTGGATTTTACGAGTAAGAGTATCAAAATTCTAAATTGTGCCTTCAAATTTTGTTTGTTTTTTTACACATAGTACTTGCAGACTCGCAAAAGCTTTTCCACATATTCAGCCGCAGAAAATAAAAGAAATATTGCTACAGAGTACAACAAGATTTTAAAATTTCTTACCTGCCATTTATAAAGCATATTATGGATTTAGCGGGAAATGCTAAAACCTTACTTTTTTCTCACAATCCTTGCCCCAAACCATAAACATTCTTTTCCGAAAATATCTATTATGAGCATAATTAGTCTTTTGTTTTCATTATAGTCTTCAAAGTTTTCAAGAAGCTATTTAAATTTCTGAGAAAAATTAAACTTCAGCTGCAGGATTTGCTTAAGGTGCTAGGAATCAATAATTTGAATTTTGTGAACTCATAAAAATGTTGCAAACCGTTTTATTTAAAAAGTTAATATATATTTAGTTGAGAATAAACCTTTTTGTTTATTTACTCATTTTTAGGTTTCCTTTTTAGTTTTCCTTTTTTCAAGTAATACATAAACTGCATCCCTTCGCGCGTGAAATAAAATTGTTCGTGACATGGAATAATAGATCATGTATTTATGAATCAGAAGTTTCGATTTATAAATTTTAGAGTAATTATGAAATCGTTTAGCAGTATTTAGATATTACTGAGCGTAGACAGAAGTAATTCTTGTTGCAGATTTCTTTTGTTTCTTCAGTGTTAGTTTATAAGGTAAAACTCAGTTTGATAGCTTTCTTGACTGCCAGACGAAGTTTGTAGAAACATATATTTTTTTGATACGGGAGATGCAAAAAACGGGCAATGCCCT